AACACCAAATCGCTAACAACTTGATTAAAAACTTTTAGCGTTTTTCTTCCTATTTCTTTCTGTCAAGTTTCTCTTCTGCATTCTCCAAGGCAAGGGGCACATCAGAATCTTTAAGTGTGTACAATGGTGTTAGTATTGGGGGCTGGTGCATGCAAGTTGTGTGTCAAATGGATGCAGATTTAAAAAGCATAAATGGTAAATATCTAGTCTGGTAATTATGCACAATAATGTGAGACCCTCTATGACCTAGTTTCTCCAACTCTCCCGCCCCTTCTTTTGCAATTACCTTCATTTCCTATTCTGTTTGTAGTTTATGGTGCATAACAGGACTCTTCGTAACAGGATTTTCTCACTCATGCACTTTCCTTTTTCAGTTGTGCAGTGTTTCACATCTTTGCCTGGATAATCTCAATTTACTCCTCAAATTCTCTAAGAATCTTTACCTAAAAATGTTTCAAGTCCTCCTTTTCTGTGCACTAGTGGGAGAAACTGGTGCACAGAAAAGGAGAAGCACATGAGCAAGAAATCGGCATGACAAAGAGTATGTTGTGTGCCACAAATGAGAAAGGAGATTCGCTGAGAAAGGAGATGCAAATATGGATGTGTTGTGTTTTATACTCCTGTTAGTCTATGAGCTTCTCAAAGGTGGATAGTATATTATGGGTTTTTGCCTGACATAATAACTGATTAATAAGTGTGTTGAAATGAACTATTTTCTATCCCAAGTGGAATGTAGGCTTTTTTGGAGATCATAGTTTCCATGTCTTTTAGCACATGCTGTACTGACCACAGGTTCATTATTTGACAAACTAATTTTACAATTTCTCATTTTTCTGCTGGTTAATAAGTGTGTTGAAATGAACTGTATTCTATCCCAAGAAGAACATGGGCTTTTTCAGAGAGCATAGTTTCCATGACTTTTAGCACATGCACTACTGACCACAGGTTCATTATTTGACAAATTAATTTTGCAATTTCTCATTTTTCTGTTACCAAAAATTACAAACCATATTTATGAGATAAATCTGTAAATTGAGTTTTCATAATGTAAAACTCGTTTGAATACTTCACAAGAAATTTAATTGTGATGGGTCAATTAAAAATGTCTAACTTGTTAATGACAGTCTTTGCCCTTAGTCTGACCAACTCAAAACTGTTAGTAAGTCTAAATTAATTTTGTCTTGATCTATTTTTGGATGATTACATGGAGATCTGGCAGAGATAGGGATATTCAATTTGGTGCAATTAGAAATAAATTTTATTTTATTTTTTATTGCATTTTAATTTTATTATTATTATATTTTGAGACTGTTGTCTTGCTCTGTCACCCAGCCTGGAGTGCGGTAGCATGATCATAGCTCACTGCAACCTCAACCTCCTAGGCTCAATTCACTGTGTGGACTCAGCCTCTGAAGTAGTTGGGACTACGGGCATGCACCTCCATGCCTGGATAAATTTTTCATTTTTAAACAAATAGGAAAACTGTTTATTCTGTTTGACTGTGAGAAAATCCTCTAATCACTTTGAAACTATGTTGTATTATGTATAAAAATGCAGAATGTGCAACTATAACCACATGAACCATGTGACTCACTTAGGTTCCATTTAGTTCTAAATATTTGATACAGTCACCATGATTATCTACACTATGGGTTGGCAAACTACTAGCCCAGTGAGATATTTTGGGCTACCACCTGTTTTTGCAAATAGAGTTTTACAAACACTGCCAAACTCATTTTTTTTCTTTTTTCAAACTTTCATTTTAAGTTTGTGGTTATATGTGCAGGATGTGCAGATTTGTTGCATAGGTAAACATGTGCCATGGTGATTTGCTGCACAGATCATTCTATCACCTAAGTATTAAGCCAAGCATCTATTATCTATTCGTTTGGTGCTTTCCTTCCTCCCAGCCCCACTTTCCAACAGGCACCAGTGTGTGTTGTTCCCCACCATGTGGCCATGTGTTTTTATCATTCAGCCCCACTTATAAATAAGAACATGTAGTGTTTGGCTTTCTGTTCCTACATTAGTTTGCTGAGATAATAGCTTCCAACTCTATACACAATCTTGTTCCTTTTTATGACTGCATAATATTCCATGGTATATATTTACCACATTTTCTTCATCCAGTCTATTACTGATGGACATTTAGGTTGATTCCATGTCTCTGCTATTATGAATGCTGCTACCATGAACATACACATGCCTGTGTCTTTAAAAATGAATGATTTATATTCCATTGGATATATATTTAGTAATGGGATTACTGGGTCAAACGGTGTTTCTGCCTCTATGTCTTTGAGGAATAACCACACTATTTTTCACAATGGCTGAACTAATTTACATGTCAACGAACAGTATAAAAGCATTCCTTTTTCTCTGCAACCTCACTAGCATCTATTGTTTTTTGACTTTTTAATAAAAGCCATTCTGAACTGGCATGAGATGGTATCTCCTTGTGGTTTTGATTTGCATTTTTCTAATGAGCAGTGATGTTTAGCTTTTTTTCATATTTTTAATGGCCACATGTATGTCTTATTTTGGGAAGTGTCTGTTCACGTTCTTTGCCCACTTTTCAGTGTTCTTTTTTCTCGTATATTTAAGTTTCTTGTAGGTGCTGAATATTACATTTTTCATATAATATATGAATAGATTGCAAAAATTTTCTTCCATTCTGTAGGTTGACTGTTCACTCTGATGATAGGTTCATTTGCTGTGCAGAAGCGCTTTAGTTTATTTAGATCCCATTTGTTAATTTTTGCTTTTGTTGCAATTGCTTTTGGCATTTTTCATGAAATCATTGCTGGTGCTTATTCCCTGATGGTATTGCCTTGATTTTCTTTTTCTATTATTATTATACTTTAAGTTCTGGGATACATGTGCAGAACATGCAGGTTTGTTATATAGGTATACATGTGCTATGGTATACCTACATTAGGTATTTCTCCTAATGCTATCTCTCTCCTACCTCCAAACCCCTTTATTCTTCCCCTAGTCCCCCGCCCCCTGATAGGCCCAGTGTGTGTTATTCTCCTCCCTGTGTCCATGTGTTCTCATTGTTCAATTTCCACTTATGAATGAGAACATGCAGTATTTGGTTTTCTATTCCTGTGTTAGTTTGCTGAGAATGATGATTTCCAGCTTCACTCATGTCCCTGCAAAGGACATGAATGAACTCATCCTTTTAAATGGCTGTATAGTATTCCATGGTGTATATGTGCCACATTTTTTTTATCCAGTCTATCATTGATGGGCATTTGGGTTGGTTCCAAGTCTTTGCTATTGTGAACAGTGCTGCAATAAACATATGTGTGCATGTGTCTTTATAGTAGAATGATTTATAATCCTTTGGGTATATACCCAGAAATGGGTTTGCTGGGTCAAATGGTATATCTGGTTCTAGATTCTTGAGTAATCACCACAATGTCTTCCACAATGGTTGAACTAATTTACACTCCCACCAACAGTGTAAAAGCATTTCTATTTCTCCACATACTCTCCAGCATCTGTTGTTTCCTGGCTCTTTAATGATTGCCATTCTAACTGGCATGAGATGGTATCTCATCGTGGTTTTGATTTGCATTTCTCTATTGATGAAATAGTCATCTACAGAACTCTTCACCTTAAATTACAGAATATACATTCTTCTCAGCACCACATCATATTTATTCTAAAATTGACAACATAATTGGAAGTAAAATACTCCTCAACAAATGCAGAAGAATGGATATCATAACAAATAGTCTCTCAGACCACAGTGCAATCAATTTTGAACTCAGGATTAAGAAACTCACTAAAAACCATACCACTGCATGGAAACTGAACAACCTGTCCCTGAATAACTACTGAGTAAATAACAAAATTGAGACAGAAATAAATAAGTTATTTGAAACTAATGAGAACAAAGACACAATGTGCTGGAATCTCTGGGACACAGCTAAAGCAGTGTTTAGAGGGAAATTTATAGCACTAAATGCCCACCGAAGAAAGCAGGAAATATCCAAAATCAACACCCTAACACCACAATTAAAAGAACTACAGAAGCAAGGGCAAATAAATTCAAAAGCTAGCAGAAGACAAGCAATAAATAAGATCAGAGCAGAACTGAAGGAGACAGAGACATGAAAACCCATTAAAAAAAAATTGAGGTGCCAGGCATAGTGGCTCACACCTGTAATCCCAGCACTTTTGGAGGCCAAGGTGGGCAGATCACGAGGTCAGGAGTTCAAGACCAGACTGCCAACATGGTGAAACTCTGTCTCTTAAAAAAAAAAATACAAAAAACAATGAATCTAGGAGCCAGTTTTTCTTTGTTTATTTGTTTTTCATTCACCAGCTGGTTTTATTTACTCACAAAGACAATTCAAAGCCAGGTACAGCACCTCTGAGCTCAGACTTTCCCTTCCCATTTTGTGGGCCTGTATTTTAAACACTGAATGTGATGTGTCCTTCAATCACCACAGCACTTTAAACCCCACAACAGCCCTGGGAAGTAGGAATCACCACCCTTCCCCACCGACTCATGTTACAGATGGCGAAACCAAGGCACACATTCCACGGAGCATGCATCACATGGGGAGTTCAGGGTTAGCCTGGAGTATGAACACACAGGACTCTTGGTTCTCACCATGGCCCAGTCAGCAGCCCACCTGGCCTCTTCTCCCTTTGGTGGTTCCATCAGCAGCAGCATAAAAATCTAACCCTTGATTTTGCTGAAAGCCCCTGCAGATGACAATTTCCTTCCTATCATGTCTGCAGAGCTCCAAGGCTAGGGGTGACGTTGAGGCTGAAGCCAGCCACAATACTTCAGCTATGCCTCTCCTCGAGAGTGGGTGGCCACCTCTGGCACATCCCTGGCACATGAGCATGGGTAACAGACTCCTGTCCCACTGCCCCTAGCACAAGAATGTGACCAGATTTCCCCAGCTACTCAGCCCGCACAGCATGCACAGAGGGGGAGTTGACTTTAATGGCATTCCATTGCTGAAAGAGACAAGGCATCTCCTTCTGGGCAGAGACACCCGCAGCATCTGTTCAGACCACCAAGGGCAGGCCACGCCAGGTGCACTGGGATCCCGCTGGGGCTGGGCAAAAGCCGGAGTCCTGGGTTCCAGAGCAGCCCTGGAAGCCCTGGAGTCTGGAAAGGAAGCAGCAGTAGGTGTGGTGGAGAGAATGAGAACTCCAGCTCCTAGCCCTTTGGCTCTTGGCAAGGTGGCCCCCGCCAGTTCAAGGCAAGCTCAGGAGCGGCTTCTGTCCTCGTGGTTCCCCACTGTCATCTTGCTGTACAGCTTCTGCTTCTCCTCCTTGCACGTATCCTTCATCTTCTCCTTCTTCAGGCCCCCATCCCACAGAAGGCCCACAAATTCTCCCTGCCTGGCAATGGCAGATTTCACCCTATTTTCAAACTGGACGGCATCTTCAGCCGCCTCTCTGATAATGGGAGGCAGGTACCACATGCTGCAGACAATAGCCCAGCTGGCCATCGTTTGCAGCAGGTATGTCACCATCCCATATTTGCTGCTGTCCCAGAAGACATCACCAAACTGAGGGGCATACTTGATAGCAACAGGGTAAACTGTGGCACCAATTTCAAAACTTCCCTTTTTGAACATCATCGCTGATGTATTATTGATGCAGGTTCCTTTAGGGAAGATGAGGATAGGCGGTTTACTTTTATCTTGAACATGTTCAGTCTCCTAGGTACCACGTGGCGATCCTTCACTTCGGAGCACTCAAATGGACAGGCCCTCACCATGGCTTTCTGAATCACACCCATGAGTCCCCATGCACTTGATCTACCATGGCATAATAGCCTTCACTGGCCAAGATGATCACATCGATCGGCAAGGTATGACTGGCCACATGGATACCACCGTTTCTCAGTCTGTTTTCCCTGTCATGGTAGGCGATAATGGCTGTCAGTGCTCGCACACAGATCTGGTAAAATATTAAGTGAATATGTTTACTCATGAACTCCTTAAACCTCCCATTTGACAAGCATCCCATCACAGTTGTGCCCACCACCAGAAGGCTAATCCCTGTGAAAGCCAGTGCTATCCTGAGTGGCAGCAGGAAGCAGTACTGAGTCAACTCACAGGACCGTGAGCTGAAGGCTGATGTACTGAACGTTATAATTGGTACTGCTCAGCAGGTTCGAGGACTCCAGTTCCTTTGCTGAGAATCTCTTTGTCACCTCATCATTCATAATGGTTTCCGTTCCTTTCCAGTAAAAGCAGAAAATGTCAAGAGGGCTCAAACTCTGGAGTGTTGTCCAGAGCCTTACTACTGCCACTTTGATGAATCTCTTTGATCTCTTCTTCTAGTGAAGTGGGAATCACCTTTGCAATGATTCTGTTGGTATGGGACTTGTAAAGCTGGTGGTTCTTCTCCTTGGCTCCTTGTCAGGAGCTGTTTTTTTTGAAAAGATTAACAAAATAGATAGACCACTAGCCAGACTAATAAAGAAGAGAGAAGAATCAAACAGGCACAATAAAAAATAACAAAGCAGATATTACCACTGATCCCACAGAAATACAAACTACCATCAGAAAATACTGTAAACACCTCTATGCAAATAAACTGGAAAATCTAGAAGAAATGGATAAATTCCTGAACACATACACTCTCCCAAGATTAAACCAGGAAGGAGTCGAATCCCTGCATAAACCAATAAGAAGTTCTGTAATTGAGGAAGTAATTAATAGCCTACCAACCAAAAAACACCCGGAACAGACAGATTCACAACTGAATTCTACCAGAGGTACAAAGAGGAGCTGGTACCATTCCTTCTGAAACTATTCCAAACAATAGAAAAAGAGGAACTCCTCCTGCTATGCTTCTACTGGTTTCAGAGTTGAATTCCTACTGTTTATACATGTTTTGAAAAAGAAAATAATTTGTTGGAAATATATTGGAGTAACTAATAGAATTGAGGTAACAGCTGAAAACTAAAGCTTAGGGTTCTTTTTGTATTATAAAGCTAAGATTTCAGTGGCTTCTTGAGTTCAGATAATTCAGGTTCAGTGACCTTCAGGTAAATTTGATTCTTCATTGAAAATTAAATTTCCATAGGAATTGTGGATCAACTTGGCCTAGGTCAAGCAAACATTTATGATACTAGGATAGACATGATGGCACCATTGAATGATCTGGCCATTCTTAGAGAAGAGTTAATCATTGTGAGCCAGGCAGCCACTATACTTGTTTTATGTTTTCCCAATATATAATGCACCTTCTATGTCTTATGTAGTGTGTTTGACTTTAAACAGAAATAAAATACCTCAGCTGAACCATATACAAATTAAAAAAAAAAAAAAAAAGAAAAGAAAAAGAGGGACTCCGTGCTAACTCATTTTATGAGGCCAGCATCATCCTGATACCAAAACCTGGCAGAGACAAAACAACAACAAAAAATTCAGGCAAATATCCCTGATGAACATCAATGCGAAAATCCTCAATAAAATACTGGCAAACCAAATCCAGCAGCACATCTAAAAGCTTATCCAGCATGATCAGGTTGGCTTAACTATGCAAATCAATAAACATAATCCATCACATAAACAGAACCAATGACAAAAACCACATGATTATCTCAGTAGATGCAGAAAAGTTTTTTTTATCATATTCAACAGCCCTTCATGCTAAAAACCCTCAATAAACTACGTATTGGTGAAACACACCTCAAAATAATAAGACAAAAATATGACAAACCTAAAGCCAATATCATACTGAGTGGGCAAGTGCTAGAAGAATTGCCCTTGAAAACCAGCACAAGACAAGGATGCCTTCCCTCTCCACTTATATTTAACATAATGTTGGAAGTTCTGGCCAGGGTAATCAGGCAAGAGAAAGAAATAAAGGGTATTCAAATAGGAAGAGAGGATGTCAAGTTGTCTCTGTTGGCAGATGACATGATTGTGTATTTAGAAAACCCCATTGTCTCAGCCCCAAATCTACTTAAGCTGATAAGCAACTTCAGCGAAGTCTCAGGATACAAAATTAATGTGCAAAAATCACAAGCATTCCTATACACCAATAATAGACAAACAGAGAGCCAAATAATAAGTGAACTCCCATTCACAAGCACTACAACAAGAACAAAATACCTAGGAATACAACTTACAAAGGATGTAAGGGACCTCTTCAAGAACTACAAACCACTGCTCAGGGAAATAAGAGAGGACATAAACAAATGGAAAAACATTTAATACTCATAGATAGGAAGAGTCAATATCATGAAAATGGCCTTAATGCCCAAAGTAATTTATAGATTTAATGCTATCCCCATCAAGCTACCATTGTCTTTCTTTAGTGAATTAGATAAAATTATTTTCATTTTCATATAGGACCAAAAAGAGCCTATGTAGCCAAGACAATCCTAAGCAAAAAGAACAAAGCTGGAGGCATATATAACTTCAAACTATACTACACGGCTACAGTAACCAAAACAGCATGGTATTGGCACCAAAACGGTTGTATGAAACAATGGAACAGAACAGAGGCCTGAGAAATAATGCTACACAGCTACAACCATGTGATCTTTGACAAACCTGACAAAAACAAGAAATGGGGAAAGGATTCTCTGTTTAATAAGTGGTGTTGGAAAAACTGGCTAGCCATATGCAGAAAACTGAAACTGGACCTCTTCCTTATACCTTATACAAAAATTAACTCCAGATGGATTAAAGACTTAAACATAAGACCTAAAACCATAAAAACTTGAGAAGAAACCCTAGGCAATACCATTCAGAACATAGGCATGGGCAAAAACTTCATGACTAAAACACTGAAAGCAATGGCAACAAAAGCCAAAATTGAAAAATAAAATATAATTAAACTAAAGAGCTTCTGCACAGCAAGAGAAACTATCTTCACAGTAAATAGGCAACCTACAGAATGGGAGAGAAATTTTGCATCTATCCATCTGACAAAGGGCTAATATCCAGAATCTACAAAAAAACTTAAACAAATTTATAAGAAAAAAACAACCCCATTAAAAAGAAGGCAAAGTATACGAACAGACACTTTTCAAAAGAAGACTTTTATGCAGCCAATAAACATATGACAAAAAGCCTCGATTTTATTCTAGGGTTTTTGTAGTTTTGGGTTTACATTTAAATCTTTAATCCATCTTGAATTATATCTGGTGTAAGGAAGGGGTCCAGTTTCAACTTTATGCATCTGCCTGACCAGCTTTCCCAGCACCACTTATTAAATAGAGAATCCTATTCCCATAGCTTGGTTTTATCAGGTTTGTCAAAGATTAGATGATTTTAGGTGTGTGGTCTTATTTCTGGGTTATCTATTCTGTTCCATTGGTCTATGTGTCTGTTTCTGTGCCAGTACCATGCTGTTTTGGTTGTTGTATCCTTGTAGTATAGTTTGAAGTCAGGTAGCTTGATGCTTCCAGCTTTGTTCTTTTTGCTTAGGATTATCTTAGCTATTTGGGCTCCTTTTTGGTTCCATATAAATTAACATTTTTTTTTTCTAATTCTGTGAAGAATGCTTCTGGTAATTTAATGGGAATAGCTTCAAATCGTTAAATCACTTTGGGCAGTATGGCCAGTTTTATGATATTGATTCTTCCTATACATGAGCATGGACTGGTTTTCCATTTGTTTGTGTCCTCTCTTATTTTCTTGAGCAGTGGTTTGTAGTTGTCTTTGAAGAGGTCCTTCACTTGCCTTGTTAGCTTATTCCTAGGTTTTTTATTCTTTTTGTGGCAATTGTAAATGGGAGTTCATTCACCCTTTGGATCTCTGCTTGCCTGTTGTTGGTGTATAGGAATGCTATATATTTTTGCACAATGATTTTGCATCCTGAGACTTTGCTGAAATTGCTTATCAGCTTAAGAAGCTTTGGGCAGAGAAGGTGGGGTTTTCTAGATATATGATCATGTCATCTGTAAACAAAGACAGTTTGACTTCACCTCTTTTTATTTAAATATATTTATTTCTTCTTCTTGCCTGATTGTCCTGGCCAGAACTTCCAATACTAGGTTGAATAGTGTGGTGAAAGAGGGTGTCCTTATCTTATGCTGGTTTTCAAGGGGATTCTTCCAGCTTTTGCCCATTCAGTATAATATTGGCTGTGGGTTTGTCTTATATGGCTCCTATTATTTTGAAATATGTTCCTTCAATACCTTGTTTATTGAGAGTTTTAACATAAAGCAATGTTGAATTATGTCAAAGGCCTTTTCTGCATCTATTGAGATAATCATGTGGTTTTATCTTTAGTCCTGTTTAAGTGATGAATCACATTTGCTGATTTGCATGTGTGAGCCAACCGTGGAAATGAAGCACACTTGATCATGGTGGGTAATTTTTTTGATGTGCTGGTGGATTTGGTTTGCCAATATTTATTCAGAATTTTTGCATCGATGTTCATCAAGGATATTACCTGAAGTTTTCTTTTTTGCTGTTGTTGTATCTCTGCCAGGTTTTGGTCAGGTTAATGCTGGTTTCATTTAATGAGTTAGGGAGGAGTCCTTTCTTTTTAATTTTTTGGTATAGTTTCAGTAGAAATGGTACCAACTCTTTTTATCTCTGGTAGAATTCATCTATGAATCTGTCTGATCTTGGTTTTTTTTTTTTGGTTGGTAGGCTATTTATTACTGAATGGCTGCTTTCAATAGCAGAGTTAAGTAGTTACAACAGAGATACAAATTCAATATGGCTCACAAAGCCTAAAATATTTATTCTCTGGCCTCTGATCACATCCATTTTATTCATGTATAGTGATAAAATACAAAGAATAAGTCCCAAATATCTGCTTGGAGTTTTCTAGATTTTTTCCTGTAGTCCACAGTGGAAACTAAATATAATAAAGCAAAATGAAATTAATTTTACAAACAAAATGTTAGATCTGTATAATATTGGATATGACAAAATTTTTGGATGATTTTATTTTTATTTCTCTCTGGACACTTGTGCACAAATGGCTCCGGGATGCCATGTGACTTGATGTGAAATTTGAAGATCCAATAACAATGTTTCTTATCATTAATAATGAATATATTCTCTCCTCTTATGCATGAGAACCATTTCTTTACAATATTTTTACTCTTGCATTCTCAATTTATTCAGCCTTGAATGCATGGATGATCTCATAGGTGAACTTAACAAAACTGAGAGATCTTTTGCATGTTGGATTATAAATTAGATACAGAACATATCAATTGTGCTTCTTATCCAAAGTAAAATAGCATGAAGAATACAGGAAAAACAATTTAAAAAATTGAATGCTGAGAATAGTTGATATTTATATCCCCAATAAATGACATCATTCAACTAAAATTATAAATCTACAGTCACACAACAAATGCCTACTACGAGTTACCTCCTTTGCCAGAAGCATTATAGAGCAATTTAAGAACTTGACTCAGATGCCTAATTTGTA